TAGGTGATTGCGGCCAGCAACAGACCGGACTGCTTGATCGGGCACTCCTAAGGCCCGGCCGGCTTGACAGACAAGTTTATCTAGGAGTACCAGACGACAAGCTACCGTTACTTGAGGCTATCACAGCGTACGTGTGAGTCAGCAGCTTGGCATCTTTCAATAGAGCGATGGCGAGTAGTCGTGATTTTAGGCACATGACACTGTCGGATGAGATGAAGGACTCGCTGAGGCAGATGGCCGAGTTGGTGCCGGCAACCTTCACAGGTGACGTCTCTAGATGCAGTACTCTTCACGTGACTGGAATGAACGGGCTCAGGTGCCGACATTGCGGGGGCCTGCAGAGCGGCTCACATCAAAGCCGTCAAGAGACAAGCCGCCGAATTGGATCTCATCGCGAAAACGCTGGCTCCTGCTAGAGCTGCGACAGCAGTGGGTTACCGGGCGGGGGCACTTCCGATCTAATGATTTGGCCCGTGGCACAAACGCGCCGTCTCTGATTGTTCACCATACCGCACCTTCTTGTTATCATCACCGCCGCAATCAGGTCCGAGAACTCCAACTGTTGATTGGTGAATACAAATCGCAGAGTCAACAGCCGCCGTCCCAGGAGGAGGAAGATTGCGCTTGCTCTGTGGACACTGTGGCTCAAGATGTCTGCAGTGGCCCCCCGAACTACGTCAGGGCAGGTATGTTCCTTTCGTCCTAGTCTATAGAATAGCTCCTGCATTGTAACGGTAGCCTCCCATGTGACGTATTATAGGTACATGCCACAGGTGTGGCTCCCAATGCCTCTATGTCGAATCAGGAGAGCTGGTCAAAGTGAAGGGAGGCGTTCACAGTTTATTAACGGTAGCGGCGGTTGGGCGGCGGTATGATGCCGATCGATCTAGTTTCATGACGATCTCGATAGTGGTGATTCGAGGATGTTGCTAACCTGTCGACTGTAGTCACTTGAGATCTACGTTGTTTCTCCCATGCTCTATGCGTTCCCTCTGTTTCTCTTTCGTACTTATGTTCCCTCTTGTTCGGGCAGGTTACTGTCAGCTTGAACGACTTCAGAGATGCATTGGCTGGCATGTCCCCTAGTGTCACATCAAAGGACCTCGGTCGATATGAACGAATGCGCCGAGAGTTTGCTAATGTGTGATTTTTCTACCGCAGTGTTTCTGGAGCTAATTCACCGTTTCTTGAAGTCCCCCATCATTGTGGCATCACAGTAGATCAATCACCCTTAAAACAAATACCAACCGGTTAACTCGACAACTGCAAAGTCATAGTACGACGCAACCTCAGCGTGAGGGGCATCCGAGCGATGCATGGGATT